CAAGTACAGTGGTTCATAAGTAAGCATAAAAAGATGTGAACCACAACCATAAAAAGATGTGAACCACAAGCATAAAAAGATGTGAACATTGATTTCTCTTTTATATTAGATACTGGACATTTGTCCCTTTTCTATGTTCCTTTAGCACACTTGATAGAATTTTGTTAGTTTTCTTAGTTTTTCCCAGTAACAAAGTGGGTTTTTTGGTTTCATTTCTGCTCTTAGGGCAATTATTACTTCTTGCAGAAGATTCAATTTATTTTCTCTTTCTAATTTCTTTTTTTCTTTCTAATTTCTAAGATAGATGCTCTGCTCAATTATATTTTAACTTTTCTTTCTCCTAACGTGTAGATTTGTAGGCCATAAATTTCTCTGAAAGGACTGTTTTAGCAGCATCCTAAGCTTTATATGTGACATTTTCATTGCTGTTCAAACAAAATAGTTCCTACTTTCAAACACTTCTGCTTTTTTCATCTATGAACTATTTGGAAATGTGAGGAAATGTGAGGTTCTTCCGGTTGCTCTTTTAAAATTAATAATTCTTAGTTTATATGCATTGTTTTGCATGGGCTTATTAAACTTTTCAAATTTCTTGAAACCTGCTATCTGATGGACTACGTGTAAATTTTATGTGAAAGTTCCAAGTGTACTTTGAGATTCCACTTACCCAGGAACCTGTCAGTTCTCCCTGCTTATCCTACTTCTTTGGGTATTCTACTTTGGGTTTAGGTCTCTGCATTAATAAAATAAGCCATATTTGTTCATCACTTTTTCAGATATTTTCTGACTTTTTTGATGTATATGGTTTGCATTTTTTCTGCATTACTGAAAGATGTGTTAAAAATCTGTCATGATGATTGTGAATATGGCTATTCTCCACAAAGTTCTGTATAGGTTTTGCTTTCTTATGCATTTGAGGCTATGTTATTAGAAACTATTGTTTTCAACTTTGTACATTATTCTGATAAACAAACTGAAGTGACACTTTTCAATTTGTTCTTTTATTTTTCCTTTGGTGTAAAACCCACTTGTTCAATATAAAGTTGGTTATGGATGCTTTTCTTTGTATGGTGTATCATAATGATGTGGCTTGGAGTAGGGTCTGTGAGCCAATGGCCAAGAAAGAATTCTTGAGATATTGTAGATGCAAAAAGCTGGTTTAATTATAGCACAACAGGACCCACAGGTAAAAAAAGCTGCACTGGGGTTGTGAGGAGTACTCATTATATAAGATATTCTATCCTAAGGAGGGGAGGGTGATGTTAGGGCACGAGGAAATTGAGTCTATAGGTTTCTAGAGATTGCTTCCTTAAGACAGTTGTAAACTGATGGAGATTCATATCCTGCAGGACAGTAATCTCTATCAGTCAACCATTTGTTTTTCCCTTTCCTTTGTTCTAAGGCAGCCAGGAGTGCCTGAGGAATATCGCACATACTCAACCTGGCGTGTGGGCAGGGGTGAGGGAGGTCTTGGCAGGTTGGCTTGTGCTTTGCCCTCTGTTTGCCTTTTGCTCCCTCATCGATAATACATCATTAACATTCTTTTACTTCTTATGTTTCTGTGTTTTTGTATTTTCTATTATTCCTTTCTAACTGGCATGTAGTTTGGTATTGAATGAGAAGATCTTTACCTCTTAAGTGAAGCATGTTGTTCATTTACATTCAGTGAGTTCACCATCTATTTGATTTAAAACATTCGTATTTGGGCTTTCTCTTTGGCCTGTCTGCTCTGTTCTTCTCAGTCAGACCCTGAAAGAGGCAAGGAATGTTGTGCCCAAGATTGCAAATCCGAGAAACCACCGAGGAGCCCACACCGATGCAAACACACGAGGGTTTATTTACAAGCTTGAGTTTGTGTCCAAGTATACCCGACAGAGCCAGAGCGGAGCAGGGACTTGGACCCCGAGGTGGGTTTCAGCTTAGTTTTAAGGACTGGTCTAGGGGACCTCCAGGAGGGGTGGAGCAATTCCCCAAGTTCTGTTTACATTTTGATATGGGGCCTTCAAGGGCATTGAGCTCTGTTCTTATTCTAATAAGGGCTTCCTGCCCTTGACTTGGGCTCTGTTTTTATTCTAATATGGGGCTTTCTAGGACCTTAAGCTGTAAGCTGTTTTCTTCCTGTAACTGAAGTAAAGTTCAGCTCTTATTCACAGGGGCCTGGGATGGCTGTACTTGTGATAACGCTGAACTTAAAGTGGAATGGCCTTAATTTTCTCGGCCTCCACAGGAATCCACTTAGCTGGGAACCTGTCCATTATCCCTGCTTATCCTCAGACATCTCAACTTAATCCCTGCTCTGGGCATTTGCATTGTCTCTGAAGAGTATGGCCCCCCTGAGTTGATGTAATTTTATTGTAAATAAATTCAGTGAGAAATTCTAGTTTTTTTTCTTTCAGGTGAAGAGATAGCAGCCAAGAAGCAGGCTACAAGCAAACTGGCAAAGTAGAGAGCATGCTTTACATAAGAAATGGCCAGAGACGCCTGGGTGGCTCAGTGGTAGGGCGCCTGCCTTGGGCTCAGGTCCCCAAACTGCATCGGGCTCCCTGCATGGAGCCTGCTTCTCCCTCTGCCTCTCTCTCTGTCTGTGTCTCTCATGAATAAATAAATAAAATCTTAAAAAAAAAAAAAACACCTCGTATTAAAAAAGAAAGAATAATTATACAACTTAGGACTTCTATTATTCACTATGAATCTTTTTCTTAGGCAGAATAATCTATTTCCCTCGAAGAGCTTTACTTTTTTTAAATTTTATTTTTTAAAAGATTTTATTTACTCATGAGAGACACAGAGGGAGAGAGGCAGAGACACAGGTAGAGGGAGTAGCAGGCTCTCCATGGGGAGCCCGATACAAGACTCCATCCCAGGACCCCAGGATCATGACCTGAGCCAAAGACAGACATTCAACCACTGAGCCACACAGGTGCCACCCTCAAAGAGCTTTAAATAAATGTGAGTAGCACACTTTTTAGTATTTGCAATGTTTTCTGATAAAAAAACAGCACGAGTTCTATAGAGTCTCAGGCTTGTCAAGCACTGGCCCTGGGTGTGAGGACAGCTCAGGTCATGGTTGGTGCATGGGAAAGGAGAGGATGGCCCTGACTCCTGGCCCTTTCTACAAGATGACACAGCTGAGATATTGCAAAGAACACCAAGTGAGGTTACGTGGACAACTCCAGGTGTTACCAGTGGGGGAGATGTGGCTGCATGAGCTTTTATGTGGACAGCTTTTGTCTGGGAACATCTGGTTCTTGGTTGAATCCTGACCTCCCAGTCTTCTCAAAGAGCAGAACTGAGACCTGTTGGCCCCTTCAGTGAGGGAGTAGACAAAAGCTATCATAATACTCAGACAGTGATTCCCCTGGACCTTAGTTCAGTAAGAAATCGAACCTTATCCAACTGAAGGACCAAGATGGATATGAGAATTTTCCATGATGAAGAGATTTTCTTTTAAAATATATTTTTTCCTGAGGAACTCATATTTTTGTAAAATCTTATTTTCTGTTTGTTTTTCTTTCCTTCCCTTTCATTGTGATAAATGTATTCTTTAATTCCTCATCACCTACTTCACTCATCTCCACCCCCCCACCCCTCTCCCCTCCTCTCCAGGTACCATCAGTTTGTCCTCTATAGTTAAGAGTTTGAGGGATCCCTGGGTGGCGCAGCGGTTTGGCGCCTGCCTTTGGCCCAGGGCACGATCCTGGAGACCCGGGATCGAATCCCACGTCGGGCTCCCGGTGCATGGAGCCTGCTTCTCCCTCTGCCTGTGTCTCTGCCTCTCTCTCTCTCTCTCTCTCTCTCTCTCTCTCTCTCTGACTATCATAAATAAATAAAAATTAAAAAAAAAGAGTTTGAGTCTTGGTTTGTCTCTCTTTTTTTCTCCTTTGCTTGTTTGTTTTATTTCTTAAATTCCACAAATGAGTGAGATCATATGAGTGAGAACAAATAGTATTTGTCTTTCTCTGACTTATTTTGCTTAGCATTATACTCTCAAAGTCCATCTCTGTTATTGTAAATGGCAAGATTTTGTTCTTTTTTATGGATGAATAATATCCCACTATACACGCACATACACACACACATCTTCATTATTCATTCATCTATCGATGGACACATGGGCTGTTTCCATAGTTTGGCTGTTGCAGAAAATGCTGCAATAAACACAGAGGTACATGTATCCCTTTGAATTAGTGTTTTCATATTTTGGGGATAAATACCCAGTGTGTGGTTACTGGATCATATGATAGTTCTATTTTTAATTTTTTGTGGACCTCCATACTATTTTCCATAGTGGCTGCTTCAATTTGCATTCCTACTAACAGTGGACAAGGGCTCCTTTTTCCCTACTTCCTTGCCAACATCTGTTGTTTCCTGTGTTGTTACTTTTAGCCATTATGACAGACAAGTGTGAGATGATATCTCATTGTAGTTTTGATTTGCATTTGCCTGGTGATGAGTGATGTTGAGCATCTTTTCATATTTTCTTTTAAAATATAAACCTCATAACTGACCTGTGAATCAAAAGTGAGTGGTATCACTGGTGAGTGGTTGTCATAGGAACTCGAACTGAATACATGGTGAATCAGCCCTTCTCTCAGGAAGAACATTATGGCAGGTCTCAATTAGTATGCATGTCCTCACAGCCCTGCTTTCTAGCAATAGCTGACCCATTCCACCCATTTTATAGTAGGATCTTAAAACTGATGTGATTTGATGTGGGGTTCAGGAACGAACAGTCAAGAAAGAATTCTTGAGACATTTTTGGTGCAAAAAAGGTGGTTTTATTAAAGCATGGGGACAAGACCAATGGGCAGAACTGTACTGGGAATGTGAGGAGTGGTGATTGATTGTATACTTTTAAGTTGGGAGGGGTAAGGACAAAGGAAGTTTCCAAAAGGATTTTCATATGTTAAAGAAGACTTAACTGTTGCAGGATTTCTGTTACTCTAGTGCCTGTGGTCTGGGTCACTCTGCTTAGAAGAATGACGAAGTAGACCAAAGAGTGATGGCCAACAAAGCAAAATTTATTGAGCAATAGCACAAAGCTCTCAAAGGGGAAGAGGACCTGAGGGGGTTGCCCGTGGGGTTTCTAAGTTTAGGGGATTTTATGAGCTCTTTAGCAGAACTATCTTAAACAATGGGGGTGTGCTAAGTCGGGACAATCAGGGCTTTGGTTGTGTATCTGTCTACTTATCAGGTTAATGTCCACGTGCTGATGGTCTTTTGTTGGCTGACTTCTGGGGGCTTAGGTCTTAAGTACCTCTTGCCTAGGATGGTGATGAATGCTTGTGGTGACTTGTTTTATCTTAGGATGTTTTGCAGAAGTCATTTCTGCAAAGGCTTCAAAACAGAATGCTAGCATGGTCCTGTCTAAGCTGCAAAACAGGATGTTAGTGCTGCTTTATTTTAGCTGTCCTGACTCCATCTTTTCTTGTTGGGGCCCTTGGCCCTAACTACTTCACTGTCCAACTAACTCCTAACATCACAGGATTCTGGAGGCCTGGCTATTGTCAAGCTAAGATTGCATTTTGCCACCAGCAAAGCATTACATTAAGACATTTGGGAGTTCCTGGAGGACTGTCCTACTCTACCTGTCTCAAGTGTTTGTCAGTGGGCTACAAGTTATAAGGAGGTTTAATTTTATCTACATTTCCTTTTGCCTTTGTTCTCCATGTCAAAAACTACACCCTTTGTTTTAAGAGTCCTCTGAAGCATCTGTCATCATGAGGATGTAGAAAGTGGGGAACTTTATTCAACTAACATTTTCCAGGTACTAATCAAGTGCTGGACATGGAAATAGAAGCTAAGAAACAATGATAAAGATAAACTAGTCTCTGGTGGCAAGGCATCATCAGCAAGACAGAGTAATTGGATAATTCACATTTTCAAAATCATGCTATAGGTACAATGAAAGCACAAAGAAGAGGCACCCTGCCCAGTTTGGGGGATTTGGGAACTCTAAGATTTCAAGGAGAAACCAGTCTGCAAAATAAAAGTGAGGGTCTGTAAGAGAGGTTGCTTGAAGAAGTCCAAATACTGTGCACAGGTATCTAGAATAAAGGGGTAACATGTCAAGTTTGTGCAACTAGAAGTAGTTCATTATAACAGAAACAAACATTAGCTGAAAGGGAAGTTCAAAAACAGCAAAAATACACTCTAGGCACCTATACGACTAACACCTAAAACTGTAATTTGCAACTGGAAAGTGAAGGGCCAGCTGAAATTTCAGAATCACATCATGCTTTATACCTTGTTTTTCAAAGAATTTAAGGAAGTAGAAATCAACTCTGTAATACAAACAAGATTAAGATACATGTTTTGTTTTTTCCAGTATTGGACCTCATTTTCCAGCAGAGTCTCTTCTGAACTCACTGATGGTTTTCTAAGGATGCAAAATTCCTTATTACCATCATCATCATCATCACCACCACCACCATCACTACCATCATATGTTTGTTTTTTCTTTTTTTTATCCTCTGAACAAGAATTGCACACTCCTTGTACGATTTCTAGAAACAAAAGTTTATACAAAATAAAATTAGTACTCCTCTCATCCCTAATCTCAGAAACCTAGCTTCTTGTAGAAGGAACCAACATTACTAGTTCCTCATGTTACTCCAGAGATTTTTTAAGTGTATACATACAAGTATATGTGAGTTCCAATTTTTTGCATAAATAGTGCAGTATTTCTATTGGTTTGCTCCACACTTTTTCCACAGTTCAATATATCTAGTAAATTGTTCTGTGTCATTACAAATAGTGCTCTGTTTCTCAATCTTCTGGCTATATAATATTCCCTTGTGCAAGTGTGCTAGAACTTATATTACCACTCCCGTATAGATGGATGTATAAGTAGTTCCAATCTTTAAAATTATAATCAGTGGATATCTTATAAATATATAATTTTTCTGACTGTGTATGTATGAGAGTGCATGTATGCCTTAAAATTAAACCTTCGGGCCAGATTGGACATTTATTAAAACTTAATAAATACTAGATACAATTTGCAGTAGATATTATACAATTTAATATAGTTAGTTCCTACATGTGATGGGGTTCCCCTTTTAGATTACACAGTGTGTTCTGTTGTTATGTCTTTATGCTCAATTGACACACTGTTCTAATGATTTCATTTCTAAAAATTTCATTGTACTTCTGAATTGTCTTGGCTTTTTAATATTTTTGATCAGCTCCATTTAAATTTTATAATTAGCCTTTCTGAAATTTTAACTCAGAACACATAAAATTTATACATGAACTAAGAATTAATTTCTATATGCAACTGACCCATCTACTCAAGAAGACATTATGGATATCCATTTGTGTAATTACTCATGTGCAACTTTCAGAAGCATTTTTTGATAAATGTATTCTAATGTGTTTCTTTTCCAGGATATTAAAGATTTGACCTCCTCTTTGTCTTCAAATCCATTATTTTTATGTCCATTTAAATTAACTCTCCGTCACATTTACTATATCTTTTGTTTGCCAGGCATTGATGCCTTATAATAAGCACTTATATTTTTTTCTATTAAAATTTTGCTAAAAAACAGAAAGGGTGCATACATGTAAAAATAAGCCATTTCAAAAAGCTGGTAAGAAAACTTGTAAATATTACCTGAAATTATCCACAAGATAAAAACTTGACAATTCGTGAACACAACTCTTTTATCAGCTTACAAATTTTAGACCACCATGAAGGCTGCGGAATATCTTCTTCACTGTCATCTGCCATTACCACTGGAGTGGGGTAGTTTTTAGCGCTTTTCCAATTATCAGTCATGTTTTTTATTTGGGCCTAAAATTGTGCGACATATTAATAAAAGGAAAATATTTAAAAACCCCAAACCTTCAGGAATAAGGTTTTATAGTAACAATTTATAAAATTAGCTGCATTTTCCTTTTTAAAGTATTCTCTCTTCTTAGATCATTTATATCAGGAATATCTCCTGCTTTAGTGTTGGGAAATGAGAAGAAGCAAAGAACAACCTTACTTATATTTATCCATCACTAGGGTTTTGCGAGGTGCTAAATAGGCATGAGGACAACTGTTGTAAGATACTCCGTTTAGCCAAAATTATGCTATTTGAGAGAGAGCCTTTGATCTGAATGGTACAAATGCTCACCCACATCTTAGAAAGAATGGTAACTTCTAAGCTGTATTAGAACTCTGATATAGACACTTGTAGATGGGAGAAGAGAGAACTCCTTTGCTATGTGCTGACTTGGGCAGGCCATTCTCACTTGGAGATAGCTACAGGGTAGGAGCTGTCTCCCTCGTTTCTGAGTATGTACATATCTGATAGTTTTAGGTCAGCAAGGATTATCTTAGGGTCATTGGGTGAGTAGGTTGCCTGAAAACTGGCAGTAATCTTGGGAAAGTGAACCAATTGCTACTTCTATTACAGACACCCAGTTAGGACATCCACGTGCTAAACCCGGATGCTCTGTGAGATCCTCCCATTCAATATTGCTCTGTGAGATCCTCCAGGAATCCCTCAGAATAGCAGCATAAGTTCTGGGAAGGTTATTTATATTCTATAAATGCTTGGAACTACCAAGTTCTTACTGGACCCTCCAGAAACTCAATGTGAACACAACTCTAGTGCCTCGACGCAAGTCATTACAAAACAGGGTTTGTAGTGAATGAAATCCAGTACACAACAGTGGTGCTGCTCTCTCTGACTTCCCTCTAACTTTCAACGCACCCTTCCTGCTGTTCTAGGGCTTTGTTCTGTAGTCCATGCCCAATCCCAGGCCAGGCTTACCTCAATCCTCTCAATCCTCTTATTCTGCTCTTTCAGAAGGACTTCTCTTTCTCTCTTTATCTGCTCTTTCATTTGGATCATATATTCCTCGAAACATTTTTCTAGAACCTCTACCCTTTTCTGCAGCTGTTTACACTTTTCCTCAAGAAGCTGCTTTTCCTTCTCAGCTGCCTCTCTTTTGGCCTGCTCTTCTGCTCCAGGAAGATTTCATTCAGAGAGGAAGGATAACAAAGGTTAAGCATAAAAGCTGCAGCCCCCTGTCCCACAACACCCCATTTTCTCAGACATCAAACTGTCTTGAAAGACGCGATGAAAATCTCTGAATTTAACTAATGGCCACATTTCAAGGGCAGGTATAGAACGTGGTAGGAAAGGTCCTGACCACCTGGCTGATGAACAACCACACTTTGCCTTAGTATTTTCAGATTTAGCAGAGTGTTGCATTCCACAGAAGGAGAGGAAGCTCCTTGCTTCAGGAACATTTTCCTGGTGGAGCATTCAGATGGCATGGCAGGAACCTCCCACCCCATCATGTGCTGAGCCCTCCTCATACCTGCTAAGGCTTGTTGTACATCACGGAGAAGCTTATCTTTCTTTATACAGCTTTCTTCTAGTTCATTCTTTATCTGCAGCAAGTCCTGGGGATCACAAAGGAGAAAGATATATCAAGCAGGTCAAACCTGAACTTCCATTAAAATATTCTGAGAAAAAAAAACTGATGAACATTCCCTAGTTCCTTCTCCCACCTACGAATGAATATTTCAAGATCCTGGTCATCTCAGTATGCCTCTAGCTTCCTCTGCCAGTATTGCATACACCACTCATGCTAGGTTCCCCCAGTCAGAAGAATGTGCAGTTTTATAAACACAACCTCAGGTGCTTTCATATTGTTCATGTGCAGTTTTTTTTTTCTGCTTGTGGCTTCAGTAACCTCCCACCCTGGACAGTACAGACAAATCTTTCAAAATTTATGTCACACTCTTCTTCCAGGACGGTTTCCTAGACTACCTTCCCCATGTGAAAGAAATTATATATTTACATTTGTACATTTTTGTCAACTATACTTTTTAAATGCATGAAATTTATATTATGTGAATTACTGTTAAATTTGAATTACTACCATCTCAGAAAGAAATACCTCATTGAGACTATTGGTAAGTTTCTGAACTCCCTGAGCCTTCCTGGTGACATGCTGAGTTTCCATTATATAATCTCAATGGCTCCTTTCAGTTGTAGCATCCTGTGATTCTATCTACAAGGCATGTTAACAGTTAATACAGCTAAAAGCAAAATAAAAATGAAGAATGATCTGGTAATGGAATCTTCTCAGAGAAACTTGGGTTGTTGTGAATGGTAGGGAGTGCCCAAAAAAAAGTAGCAATCTCAAAATAACCTAAGCATGTTCCAACCAACAGGGAAACTGCCAACATTTAGTCAAGGAGGTCATCTGAGTGTCTGTACGGACTTTGCTTCAGATAATGTGTCTGAGTTTGGAGGAGAAGGAGATAAGATAGAGTAGGAGTGTCCTTTATAACTCTCTTAGAAGAATCAGAATCCTTCCACCATGAATGCTAGCTAATCTATGGCCACTCAGGTAGCTTCAAGGTAGAGTGAGTAACATGAAGGATCAAGTATAAAGACCAAGTACCATGTAGTACTGCTGTAATTCCTCATATTGGGAGGACTCCGCTGTGAAGATTGCCTCACTATCCTGATATGGTAGTGCCAGGACCATTTTTGTGGGAATTTAACTCTGCAGAGTCACTATTTTCTCACAGTAGACAGGTGTATCACCACATTGTCTAGACAAGGAACCGTTCCACTGTTGGAGGCATCCGTAGAGGTCACCATCAGAATCCTCAGCCCTGAATGAGGCAAGAAATTTAGGGGATCAATGAGATTCAAAAATCAGAAAGTACAATTCTAAAATGAAACAGTTTGAAACTTTTCATCAATCCCATCTCCACCTACTAAATTAGTGTTTTCCTTCCAATCACTGCAGTTAAAAATTTTAACTATCTTCCTTCAGTTAACATGCTCCGATATCTTTGAATATCTTTGATATCTTTCTCAACAAAGCATATTAAGAACACAATAGACAGTCATACAAGTCAATAACAAAAAAAAACCCCAAAAACCAAAAAACAATTGATTATAAAATCAGTAGAACTAAACAGATATTTTTCCAAGAAGACATCTAGATGGCCAACAATGTATGAAAAGATACTTAACATCCCTAATCATCAGGGAAACCAGGGATATCTTAAAACCACAATGTGGGACACCTGGGTGGCTCAGCGGTTGAGCGCCTGCCCCTGGCTCAGGGCATGATCCGTGGTCTCAGGATCGAGTCCCACATCAGGCTCCCTGCCTGGAGCCTGCTTCTCCGTCTGCCCGCATCTCTGCCTTTCTGTGTGTCTTTCATGAATAAATAAATAGAATCTTTAAAATACATACATACATACATACATACATACATACCACAATGAGATATCACCTCACACCTGTTAGGATGGCTATTATTAAGAAGACAGATAATTATTAGCAAGGATATGGAGATAAGAGAATCCTTGTACATGGATGGTAGGAAGGTACATTTTAAATTAGTTCAGCCACTGTGGAAAACAGTATGGAATTTCTATAAAATAAAAAATAGAACTACCATATAATCCAACAATCCCACTTGGGTCTATTTATCCAGAAGAATTGAAATCAGGATCTCCAGGGATATCTACCCTTTGATGTTGTTGCAACATAACTGACATTAGCCAAGATACGGAAGCAACCTAAGTGATAGATGAATGGATAAAGAACTTGTGTACGTATATACAGTGGAATCCTTTGTTCAGGCATGAGAAATAAGGAAATGCTATTTGTGACAACATCTATGGACCTTGAGGGCATTATGCTAAGTGACATAAGTCAAATACTATATACTATCACTTATTTGTGGAATCTAAAAAGAAATTGAACTTATAAAAATAGTAGAATGGGGGCTAGGAGTTGGAAGAATTGAAGGTTTGTGGTTTATAAGGGTGTAAGCTCGCAAGTAGTAAGTGAATAAGGGCTGGAGATCCTCAGGATAGTGATTATAGACAATACCAGATTTTAAACTTAAAAGCTTCTAAGAGACTAGATCTTTTTTTTTTTTTTAAGATTTTATTTATTTATTCATGAGAGAGAGAGAGAGAGAGAGTCAGAGACACAGGCAGAGGGAGAAGCAGATTCCATGCAGGGAGCCCGACGTGGGACTCCATCATGAGTCTCCAGGATCAGGCCCTGGGCTGAAGGTGGAGCTAAACCACTGAGCCACCTGGGCTACCCCGCTAAGAGACTAGATCTTAACTGTTGCCAGCACTTACATACACATATACATAAATATGATAATTAAATAACATGTTAGCTTGTTAGCTAAGGCTAAGGTACTAATCACATTGCAATATATAAATATATCAAAGCGGGATCCCTGGGTGGTGCAGCGGTTTGGCGCCTGCCTTTGGCCCAGGGCGCGATCCTGGAGACCTGGGATCGAATCCCACGTCAGGCTCCCAGTGCATGGAGCCTGCTTCTCCCTCTGCCTGTGTCTCTGCCTCTCTCTCTCTCTCTCTCTGTATGACTATCGTAAAATAAATAAATAAATAAATAAATAAATAAATAAATAAATAAATAAATAAATAAAAATAAAAAAAATATATCAAAGCAACTCATTTTACTCCTTAAAACTTACACAATGTTGTATCAATAAAAATAAAAATAGATAAGAAGTGAACAACTGAGGCAGGGTAAAGAAGATTATATCAAAAATAAAAAAATTTAATAAAATTAGATAAGAGGTGAACAACTGAGGCAGAGTAAATGAGATTATATTTATTCCTATTAAAATTCCACCTACTGGGGACCTGGGTAGCTCAGTTGGTAAAGCGTCTGACTCTTGGTTTTGGCTCAGATCATGATTTCAGGGTCGTGGAATCGAGCCCCATGTCACGCTCTGCACTGGGCATGGAGCCTGTTTAAGATTCTCTCCCTCCCTCTCCTTCTGCCCCTCTTCCACTTGTGCTCACTCTCTCTCTCTCCCTCTCTCTCTCTCAAAAAATAATAAATAAAATTCTGCCTACTTTAAGGAACAAATTGTCAGAAATTTAGTTTTCTCTGGAATATGTATATATGTTTATATTTTTATTTTTATATATAAGCTCTGAGAGGAGCATTTATTATACAGGATGTCTCCTCAGATGCAGCGGAAACTTGCAAACCCAGAAGAGTCTCACAGTAAAATAAGAGCACAAAGTCATTCTCTTTGGCCTCAGAGTTAACCAGAGGATGCATACATTAGTACTTCTGTACTTTTCCACGGCACAAAATGCAGAGTGGCCATTGCAGAGTGCTCCCTTCATTATTCTCCAAATCTCTGATGAAGCTAGGGATGAAATACTGGGTATCACCAGCCTGCAATGTTTTGCTCTCATTGATATTTACAAGAACCGGCAAAGTAGGCTTATTATACTTACTTTGCAAATGAGATCAGTGGGGCTCAGAAGGTCTAGGTAAGGTATTTTTCCACGGCACGTACTGAATAGATTGTAGACCCACGTTTGGAAACCTGGAAAGTCTGTTTTTACTGTTCTATATTTTGCACTCAATTACCAGCAAGATAATTTTCCTCAAAAACACTGGTTACACATACTTCAGTATGATGATCACTAACTTCTAGGGGATTTCTATTGATTCTCCTATCCCCAAAACACTCTCTCTAATGTATTATCATGACCCATTGGGCTCCTCTTATTTCCATAGAGTCAGGTTGTCATCCTACAAACCACTCAGCAGTTTCCAGACCTGGCTCTCTCCTCACACAGCTAGTACTTCACTAGGGGCTCCAGTTCACCTCAGGTTTATGAAAGATATCTTTTCATATTTTTATTCCTTGATATCCAGTCCCATTATTGTGGCTTTTTTTTTTCCCCCACTTAGACACATTGGTTGAATATCCATTATGTGCTACAAATTGTACTTGTGTGCTTGGATAGAAAGATAAATAAGCTGTGGCCCCTGCCCTCAAAGTCTTCTAAAATAACTGTATCACAGGTGCAATGAAATGCCGGGACACCTGCACCCCGATGTTTCTAGCAGCAATGTCCACTGTGGAAGCAATAGCCAAACTGTGGAAGGAGCCTCGGTGTACATCGAAAGATGAATGGATAAAGAAGATGTGGTCTATGTATACAATGGAATATTACTCAGCCATTAGAAATGACAAATACCCGCCATTTGCTTCGACGTAGATGGAACTGGAGGGTATTATGCTGAGTGAAATAAGTCAATCGGAGAAGGACAAACATTATATGGTCTCATTCATTTGGGGAATATAAATAATAGTGAAAGGGAATAGAGGGGAAGGGAGAAGAAATGGGTAGGAAATATCAGAAAGGGAGACAGAACATGAGAGACTCCTAACTCTGGGAAACGAACTAGGCGTGGTAGAAGGGGAGGAGGGCGGGGGGTGGGGGTGACTGGGTGGCGGGCACTTAGGGGGGCACTTGACGGGATGAGCACTGGGTGTTATTCTGTATGTTGGCAAATTGAACACCAATAAAAATAAATTTATTATTAAAAAATAAATAACTGTATCAGGATTAGGATTAGCTGTGACAATTAGAAAAAAAGTCTCCTAAACAATGTACATTGATTTCTCTCTCATAAATTTTGGGGCTAGTAATCTAGAGATGGTGTGTGCTTTTGTTTCATAAGGATTGAGGCTTCAGAACCTTTTTATCATATGCTCAGTCATCTTAAGGGGTGGTCCATGGTGTGAGATGGTGTGTTGCCATATTTGTATTTTTTTAAAAAGATTTTATGTATTTATTCATGAGAGATACACAGAGAGAGGCAGAGACGCAGGCAGAGGGAGAAGCGGGCTTCACGCTGGGAGTCCGATATGGGACTCAATCCCAGGACCCTGGGGTCACAACCTGAGCCGCAGGCAGATGCTCAACCACTGAGCCACCCAGGTGCCCCTCATACTTGTATTCTAAGCATAGAACAGACAAAGGGAAGATAGGCCTCTCCTTTACTAATTCATCTTATCTACATAAACCAGATTGCTTCTTAGATTCTTCATATTCCTGTACACAACCACAAGAGAGGCTGGAATTGCCATCATTATTCTGGGAAACTGTGTGCGTGGCAAGTAAGCAGGAGTCCTATTAGTATAAGAGAAAGGGGAGATAGATTAGAATGGAATAAGGGGAGAGTTAACAGTATTTCCCAATAACCATCTCAAACTAGGGAGACAACAGACGGTACAACAAGGATTATACTCTACGGTTTATCTCCATTATAATTATCTTCACTAAGGTCTAAGCTTGAAGAGAAAGGTGTCCTGTCTGTTCTGTTCTCTGTTCAGTCCCCATGTTGGGCACATAGTAGATTTGTTAAACTGAAATAATTCTGAGGAAAGAGATATATGTGAGTGATAGGGGTTAATTGAATTATGTGTTGAAATGATTTAATTCAGCCTAAGAATACAAAAGAAGAAAGCCTGGCGGATCTTTCCGGGGTGATAGTCCTGGGAGAGCAAGGGGTTTCAGAGGCAATGCAGACAGAGTGAGCCTCCAGAAGAAGGAAGAGGTTCGCTATGTTAAATACTCAGAGAATTCACTGCAAATACTAGTAGGATGGCCAGGAATGTCCTTACAGAACACAGACTTATGAGAGTGTTGGAAACAGTAGCCAGGGGAGAGAAAGGAGCAGCCGTGGGGGAAGGAAGTGGGTCCAAAGAAAGTAGAAGGACATCTAGAGTATTTAGTATTAGATAAATGTGCTAGAGTATTTAGTGAGGAAGAGTCATGGCCTCTGTTACTTATTCCCCCAAATAATAATCAGAATAAGAATGTAAACAGAAAAACTTCTATATCTGTTTAGAAAGAGAATGCAAATATCACAAAATATCACCACAGGGTGCATCTAAATGAATAGAAGGTAGGATTTCATTGTAGTCTTAAGCTTCCTCTATAATTCATATTTTTTAAAACATAGATTTTTAGAATATGTAGATTTTAGAGCAAGAATATGTAAACAACATTAAGTGGAAATCACAAATACAAGGTTTTATATCTTCCCTATTTAGATTTATCTATTGCATTCCTATTCTCAGTTCCCCTTTTTATCTCAGAAATTAGGGCTTAAAGCCCGAACCTAAAGTGCATGCAAAAGAAAGTTTAGAACTGAACATACCTGCTCCGTAGTTGCAGACCTGCTGGTCTGTTCAAGAATGAGCTTCCAGCTGCCTCTCAACTCACCCGTTTTCTGTTTTCTCTGCCCCCAGAAACTGAAAACAAATTGAGGAAGTTGAGAAATGAAATGGAGGAGGAAACTGTGATAGTAAAAGAACTTCATGGTGTGTTAAATATTTGGAGAAGGTGTGTGGGAACAAAGCCACCAGAGCCTGATAAGGTATAGAGGGCAGTTAGTGGATCCCAGTCACTCTGCAGTTAGACCTTAGTAAATATCGCCCTAACTAGCCTTCTTTATTTTGTCCCCAGCTTGTCTGTGCACAAGTGGACTGTTAGTAGAGTCCAAGGGCACAAGGGTACCTGGCTTCAGGGGTCCCAAGCAGACTGGGTCTAGCCACTTGTCATTGACAAAACCCAAAGGCAGAGAGGCCAGCAGTGGTGAAACAGAAAGGGACTTATTTCAAGGAGGACACCACATAGGGTCTTGCTGGTCTTAAGAGTACTTAATCAGTTGAAAAGTACAGACTGAGGTCAAAATGTAGGCAGTTTGGGTATTTCCCCAAACTGGGTCCTCTTTTAGGACTATGATGTATGTAGGTGTGCATTCTGTTATACTTTTATATCTTGGAATTCATAGAACTTCTTGATTGATGTTTCTCATAAATATGCATCTTTTGCATTATTATTTTTTCATTTATTTTTTTTCTAACATTTTCTGCCTTTCATCTACTGATGAGATGTCCACCCTGCCTATATTGGCACACCTGATGGTGCCTCACAGTCTCTGCGCTCCTAATTTTGTCTTCTTTTCTATTCTTCAAAATGGATTCTCTCTATTGATTTATCTTCAGTTCACAGATCTTCCCTTTGCCAGTTAAAATCTGTTTTTGAGCCACTATACTGTATTCCAGTTCTACTATTTCACTGTGGAATTTGTTTTGTTCTTTCAGTAACTTCTTGTTATTGATATTTTCTATGTCATGAATCATTTTAACCCTCTTTGATTCTTAAACCATAGTTACCTTTAGTTCTTTAGCATACTCATAATAGATGCTTTGATATATTTGCCTGTTAAATGAGATATTTGTCTGCTCATGGCCCAAGAGATAGTTTCTATTAACTTATTTTCCTATGATTAGGCCAATTTTTCTGTTTCTTTGCATGCCTCCTAACTTGTTTTGAAAACAAGACATTACAAATAATATAATGTTGTAACTATGGATTCCATCATCCCCTCAAGAGATTGTTGATGGTTTTATACTTTGTTTACTGACTTCCCTGGACTAATTCTGTATTGTCTGATGCCCTTGCCATATGTGACTACTCATGGCTCTGTTCGGTTATATATAAAAATATTTTTCAGTTAGTTTTTGAGATAGACTTCCAAAAAGTCACCTCTGAGGCAACAGAGCTTATTGATGAGCCAGTGCTAGGTTAGAATTTATACTTGGGGTGCCTCGGTGGCTCCAGTGGTTAAGCATCCGACTGGATCTCAGCTCAGGTCTTGATCTCAGGGTCCTGAGTTCAACACTACTTAAAAAAAAAAAAAAAAAAAAAAAGAAAAGAACTTATACGTAAACGTCTTGAGCCAACACCCAGTTTCAGAAAGCATTATTTCTGCAATCTGTAAGGCCTCACTCACATTCAGCTAGGTGAATATAGGAAAGAGTGAAGGAAGGAAAGTAAGTAAACAAATCCAAGGATGTGTTATGGGGCCACTCTGAGCCCCTGGGGCTCATTCCTACCAGGGTACTACAAGTGAAATTCAAGGGGTCTCAGAGAATGCCTCAAAGCACAGTGGATCTGGTGGAGAGAGAGTCATCAGTGTAACAGAGTTTGATAATATGGGGATTAGGCCACCTGCTCGTGAAACTCTGTTTTGTCCTGTAGCCACCCAAATAAACTTGAGATTTAGATGGCCTGACGGTATGTAGCTCATGTAGTATTTTTTTAATGCTTTTTAAAATATATTCATTTATTTGAGAGAGCATGTGTGAGTTGGGGGAGGGGCAAAAAGAGAGGGATCAAGCGAATCTTCAAGCAGACTCCCCCCTGAGCATGGAGTCTGACATGGGGTTCATTCCAGGATCCTGAGATCATGACCTAAGCTAGAATCGAATTGGATACCTAACTGACTGAGCCACCCAGGTGCCCCTCTCATTATAGTTTTGATTTTCATGTTCCTGATGGTCAGTGATGATGACTATCTTTTCATGTGTCTGTTGACCATCATGATGTCTTTTTTGGAGAATTGTCTGTTCATGTCTTTTTAAATTGGAGTATTTTTTTAATTGGATTATTTATTTTTTGGGTATTGAGTTGTATATGTTCTTTATATATTTTGGGACAGTGGTGTTAGGAAAAATTGTATTAGGCCTCTAGTCCTGTGCTGGATCCCCTGAAGTGCTGCCTGGGGTGGGGGCTGCATGCCAGGGTCCTGGGGCCTGGCTGGGCGCAGCACACGATGGTTGGGGTCCCCAGGCTGGGTGTGGTGTGGCAGCCTTGCAAGGCTGTGGCTGTGAATCCAGCATCCGGGCATGGCCCACAACAGTGGATGGGGGTGCATGGCTGGGTGTGGGGCTTAGTCCTTGGGTGCTACATGTGAGAGCAGCTGAGCACACAGTGGCCAGGGAGGGGTCGGGGGTGGGGGTGGTGGTTAGGTGGGGAGAGGGGGGCAGCCCTCGGCTCTAACAAAATTGGCCCTGAGCCCTGGGCCTAGACTACAGTTGCCACCACAGCCCCACCTCCGGCACCTAGCTCTCTGTTCATGCTGTGGGGCGGGGGAGGAAAATGTCATCTGCCAGTTTCCTGTTTTCTTGGAGAAGTCCCCCAGCACTCTCTCAAATCAGAACAGATCTCTTTCCCCTTTGCCCAGGGATTGTGTCCCTGGGTGCCACCTGGCTCTCAGTACCCCCACCCCCACCCCAGACTCACCTGGTGCTGAGTTAGCTGACTTTTAAAGCACCAGGCTCCAAGCCCCACTGGTTTCACAAACTCCCAGGATATTGTCTCAGCTATCTTTGCCATCAGTTTTGTGGAGAAAGACAAGCCTTCCAGTCCTCCAAGGCCCAAACCCTTTTGACTCTGGTGGGTCCTCTCTCTCCTCCACCTTTTCTGTTTTCTTTTCTCTACCAACGACCTGCTTGAGGAGGAAATAAGATAGGCTGGCAAAGCAAGTTAGCAGTCATTTTTCACTATTTAGCTTTCTGTTGAGACTTACAACTTGGTAGTCTCCTCCTGTGTTACAGGAAGCACTTCAAAGTATTTTTATTTTTTATTTCTTTAAGATTTATTTATTTGACAGAAGGAGAGCACAAACAAGGGGAATGGCAGAGGGAGAGGGAGAAATAGACACCCTGCTGAGCAGGGAGCCCAACACTGGGCTGATCCCAGGACCCAGAGATCATGACCTGAGCTGTAGGCAGACACCCAACCAACTGAGCCACCTCGGTGCCCCCCTAAGTATTTTTATGAATGTACACATTTTCCTCTATGTCAAGAATTTGGGAAGATGTTACAATAACCTTTGTTTTACACACTGATTCTATTATCCCAGTAGTTAGTCTGCTGAGAGAGAGGAGGAGGCCATATGTAAATTGTGAGTTTCACAAATGGTGCGCAGACACCCTTGCTTTGGGAACACTGGGGCACGATATTCTACAGGTAGACAGAGACCTGGAGCTGAAACTGAAGAGACATTTTGAGGGCTCTGGAGCTTTGGTGACATTTTGTAACAAGTAGTAGCCACCCATTCCATCACATTTTTCTAAATCATGAAATGCAATGGGGGATCCCAGTGGAAGGAAGTGCCTAGAGAGAGCCTGCAAAGGCCCCTTGGGGACAGTAGTTCAGTTGTCCTTGAACACTTTTATGCAGTCTACTAAGACCAATTAAGTCGTGTCACTTTTCTGCACAAAATCTTAAAAGCTTCTGATTGCAGCTGGAATAGTGGACTGTATCCATAGAAGGCCTGTAAGATCCTACAGAGGAGATTTAAAAATCATGTGCATATTATTTCCTAATGGAAAAGCAAGTGATTTTCTAGAATTGAACCTGTTCTGAGAATAGCTCTTCATTGCTTTCAGTTTCAACCTCGGTTACAATTGTAGGAAGGACTGTGTGAGTGAACTTGAATGACCTCAGAGATTGTTTTTCTGGCTCAAAACCTTTATATGAGTTTATTTGAAACATATGACTATCTAGTTCAAAGTGTTTAAGGGATTACAGTGGACAGGAAAGTCTGTGAGAAGTTGCTAACAAGGGCAGAGTTTAGGTGCAGCTCCCGGGTAGCAACAACAAACAGATGGCTTCCATTGTGCCAGCTTTCTGTCTGACTCCTTGGAGTTTCCCCAGTGAAATAGTGACTAAGCAGCATGTTGTGTCTAAGTCTGTATATGGGTGTATGTAAGAGAAGTGCGTGGATGAGGAAAGGGAGGGTGGAAAAAGTTCAGTTTGTTTTAGGAGGAGGGGCAGAAAAGGTATAGAACAAAGGTCTCTTGAATAAAAAAGCTCCAAGCTAACAAAAATAAAATTTCAAGGGGCACCTGGGTGGCTCAGTGATTGAGCATCTGCCTTTGGTTCAGGTTGTGATCCCAGGGTCCCGGGATCGAGTCCCTCATCCGGCTCCCTGCAGGGAGCCTGCTTCTCCCTCTGCCTGTGTCTCTGCCTCTCTCTCTCTGTGTTTCTCACAAATAAATAAATAAAATCTTTTATTTTTATTTTTTTAATTTATTTTTTATTTATTTATGATAGTCACAGAGAGAGAGAGGCAAAGACACAGGCAGAGGGAGAAGCAGGCTCCATGCACCGGGAGCCCGATGTGGGATTCAATCCCGGGTCTCCAGGATCACGCCCTGGGCCAAAGGCAGGCGCCAAACCGCTGCGCCACCCAGGGATCCCAATAAATAAAATCTTTAAAAATAAATAAATAGAATTTGAATGTTTGATTTTGGGAGAAAAGAAAACATACTATAAATTACACAATAAGAAACCTTGCTTAAAAACATAATGACTCATCAAATTTATAGGAAGAGAAAACAGAATGGTTCCCAGAGGTTTGGGGGAGGAGGAAATAGAAGTT